TTGGAGTTCATTACACTCAAATTGCTGCAACCAAGAAAGACACACTCTCCAAGCACTTCAACACGACTTGGGATGGCAATGTTATTCAAATTGATACATCGATTGAAAGCTCTGTTTTGAATAGTTCTCAAAGAGTCTGGTAATACAATTTCAACCAAATTGGTGTTGTCGTAAAAGCACATCTCTCCAATAGAAATCAATTTGTTGCCAAAGATGTATTTTGCGGTGTTGTTGTTTGCATAGCAACTATTTCCAAGTGCGGTGATTTGGGGTGGGACTTCGATGGTTTCTGGAGTGTTTTGGTTGTCGTTTGCGTTGAACCAAAGATTACTTGAATTGTGAATAAAACAGTTGTCGCCAAGTGATGTGACTACCTTTGGAATGTCAGTGCCGTACAACTCAATGTCGCCAAGGGTATACACAACGTTTTTGTATATCACATTGTCGTGCGGTTGAAGGTAAATTCGATACGAAACTGGTCGCCAATAGACGCGGCGGTAAAAGTTGATGTCTGAAAATTGGTCGCTGTAAAAAGAGTAAATGTGGAGTGTTTCTAAATTTGGGAACAGGTGAAGTTGGTTGCGAGTGATCGAAATTGGATTGTAATGAAATTTGGAAAGAAGAGAATCGAACTTTGAATTTACTGCTTCGATGTTGCAAAAGTCTTCGAGTGTTACAAAGTATTTGGACACAATCATCATGCTGTATGAATCTAATTTACTCATCCTTTGATGTATAAGATAAATTTAATTACAAGATTTGAAGTGGTGATGTTTAGAAATGATTGTATAAATAGTATTATTTTGTATATTATATTTTTTCATTATTTAAATTAAATGTGTGTGATTTATTAAATGTTTATTCTTTATTAATATTAAGAATAGTTAAAATGTAATAAAATTTTTGTATAAATCATTAAATGTAAATAAATGTTACTGTTTTAAATGTGTTTTAAAATGTTATAAATTACATTTCAATACTTTTTCAATATATAATTATATTTATTTAACAATAATGTGATAATTCAGGGACCTACATTGACCACCACCTTTACCAAAAAAATATTTGCCGCTAGTGTTTTTTGAAGTGAGTCCACTTTTCAGCCACTGTTTGTGCGTCCCCATGTCACCCACTTTCCCTGTCCGTACTGTGTGGACGCGGATGTGGTTCCCCCGCTTGCGGGGGGGTCAGGGGGGATCCGCGCCAAGGGAGGACTTGGAAAGTGGGTGAAACGGTGCACAAACAGACTGTTTGAGTGTGTCTTCAGAGCCTTC